AGGGGAAAGTCAATTGGGAAAGCTATGAAGGCACACATGATTTTCATAACAGAATACAGCTGATATATAACAAGCCAAGTAACACCAAAAACTCCTTGGGATTTGGCTTCCTCTGGAGGAATTCCATGATCCCTCCAGGTAGTGACTTTGCCATAACCAGCTGAGTTCTTATGATATATTCCTGCGGCCCGCAACAATGAGAGTAAAGGAGTTTTATTTTACTTCCCCACTTCCTGCTATCTGGGAGTAAATATGATAGGGAGAGATTGCATTGATCTATTTTTCTGTGACTATAGAAAAACACCCAAGGCAGCTAGTGGTGAATATGATCGTGAGAGTTGCTATTAGTCTGTTTTCTGCCACCATAATAAAACCCCTGAGGCTGAGTAGCTTCAGAAGTATGACACTGGCTTCTGATCAGCTCTGGTGAGACACTGGTGACAGATGGTGCCACAGGACAGTAACCTGTGTAAAAGCGAGGAATGGGGAACCAGACATCATGGGTAGGATTACCTTATCGCCTTACTTCAAGACCTATCCATTGTCCTACCACAGTTCATCAATTCCCTCTAAGCCTTAGAGCCTAAGGGTAGTTAGTGCTCCCAATGAGCAAAGACTTCTCCATGGACTAACTCTAACCTGGGACCATGGTTCAAGAGATGAGGATGTTGTCACTGATACAGTACTTGCCTAACTCGTATGCAGCACTGGGTTCGAGCCCCAGTACCACACTCACGGCTTCCTACATCATTTATGTCGACACATTGGGGGAATGTCTTGCGTCTCACACATGAGCCTTTGGGGACAAGCTGAAACTATGTCCAAATCACAGAACAGCTCCACTCACCGTATGAGACCCGGGGACTGGAGATACGTGGTGAATGTGGCAGAGCCATTGCATACATAAAGGGTCACTGACTGTTTAATGTAGAGAGGTAACATATCTGTTCTAAGCCCTGAAAGAAAAATAACTTACTTCTTTCACACGCCATTTTTGTATTGGTTTTTTTTTTTATTATAGTAACAAATTTGTTTCTGGCCCAACCAGAATTCTAAGCTCTTCTCTCTACAATCTTCCAACCATAAGGGTCTATATTACTCTGTTTTCTGTGGCTGTAATGAAACACTTCAGGTGAGGTAGTTTATTTTAAAAAGTTAACTTAACTCACCCTTTGGAGGTGCAAGAGCATGACACCAGCAACTGCTTCCCTCCAGGGGGGGCCTCCTGGCTCCGTCACCACACGGTGAAAATGATGTTTCACCTTCACTGTCGTCTTGACTGGATCTGGAATCACCCGGGAGACACCTCCGGGCGTCACCTAGGAGACGCCTCCTCTGGGTGTACCTGTGAGGGCAATGCAAGAGAGACTGAACTGAGGAGGGCTGAGCGCTCTGAACGTGGGCAGCTGCATCCCCATCCGCTGTGGTCCTGAGCTGAATGAAAGAAGAGGAAAGAAAGCGGCAGAGAAGCACCAGCATGTATCTCTCTCTGCTTCCTGCCCGTCGACGTCGACGCAATACAGCCAGCTGCCTCATGCCCCTACTACTGTGCCTCCTCAGCCATGGCGCTCTGTATCCACTCAAACTGTGGCCCAAATTAACCGCTTCCTTCCTTGAGTTGCATTTGTCACTGATTTTTTTTTTTTTTTTTCAGCAATGGGAAATAGTAACTACTACAGTGAGTGATTTCGTGGTGGGACAGAATGAAAGAGAGAGACCGTGTGGTAAGGCAGGAAGGCAGAGCAATTCAGAGGCAAGGCCTAGTCCTTCTGTAGGACAACTGCTCTTGAGGAACTAACCAGGGTCCCATATAACTACAGTCACCCCTCCCCAGGGCAGCATTTCCCAGTGGCCTAATGACCTCCCACTGGGACCCCGCCCCGCTTTGTAGAGATTCTTCCACCTCAGCATGCCACTCTGGGGACCAAACCTCCAATATGTGAGCCTTTGAAGGATACCTTTATATCATAATCCAAACGTAATAAAGCCAGATGACTGTGTGTGCCTGAGAAAACATTTTTTTCATTCCTTATATACACAATGCCATTTCTCGATTCTTCCTGAAGGAACGTGGTCATGATTCCTGGGCTGGTGGCCACCATCATCTTTGAACCTCTGCATCCACTGATGTCGGGACTTCTTGTTCTCTGATGAAAACAGCCCACATGTGGTTCCAATGACTATAGTTGGGGTTTCTGTCCCATGCCGCTATTGCTAACTGATGCATGGCTACTGGCTGAAGGACCTGGGGAGATTTATAATCAATATTGCCAGCCCTTCTCAATACTCTAAAGACTAGAAAGACACCAAATAGCTCAGGCTGTGTGTGACCTTTGTGTGACTTCTTACAGTATTTTGATGTTCATTTACCAATCTAAAAAGCTTTGGCACTGCCAAGGATGCCAAATTGTGGTGGTGCACACCTGAGGTCCTAGCGCTTGGGAAGCAGATGTGAAAAGATCCAAAATTCAAGTCCATCCTTGGTTACCTAGAGAGCTAGAGATCAATTTGAGCTACATGAGATCCTGTTTAAAAAAAAAAAAAAAGAAAAAAAAACAGCAAAAAGAAAATTAGGTCCCTCCTCATGGGTAGTAAAAATATAAGGTGTATTTTGGGATATTGGCAATTTCTTGCAAAAGCAAATCAGTCCTTTCTGTGTAACCTAGTGATCATTTACTTTGGAAAATTAATCCCAGAGAAATGAAAACCTATGTTCATAGACACACAAAATAAATCTGCCCATGAATATTCATCGCACCTCTGTCTGTAATAGTGAAAACCCAAGGCCAATCCAAGTGTCTGTCAGAGTACTAACAAATAGCTAAGTGAACCTTGGCTTCACACAGTGAGACATATGAGCCAGCAATAAAAAAAAAGAATGAAAATGAAGTTAGCTATGAATACAAAAACAGATCAGGTGGACCTCTCTGTGTCGTGTTTACAGAGAAGCATCAACCTCAAGGTTTACAAACTCATGTAGGCCATTCTTGGCTGCTGCAACAGAACTCCACAGGCAGGGGAACTCATAAACAAAAGAAGTTAATTCCTCGAAGTGCTTGCGACTGGGAAGTCGGGGCATCAGCTTCTTGTGAAAGACTTCTGGTGTCATTTGATGACCCAGGAGATGACAAGGGGGCAGCCGGAGAGCAGCCTGGGTCTCGCCAGTCTTGACATTTGGGAGGCGCAGCTTGGAGAAAGCATCAGAGAGAGCAAGCAGACTTGTTAAAAACACAGGCCTGTTTTCTTCACCTTTTCACCTGGAAGGCTGGAGTGGATGTTGTCTAACAACCTGGTGATCTTCTTGCAATTCTCTGGAGCCAGCCTTCCTGAACACCCCACCCCATTGTTTAGGCCCCAATCCTGAGCTTAGTCTCTCAGTGAATAGAACCCATCCTTATTAAAAGGTCCCATCAACAGAATGGGACCAATAGAATCTTTCCTTATGCTTGTCACAAACTCTTCCTCCTCAGACCCTGACCCCACCATGGCTTATCAGTCAATAGAATTGGTTCTTATGGTAAAGGTCATAGGCACTTTGCTACTTTGTAAGGGAGTTTCAGTGTAGTTATGTCTGAAGGTCTGTTGTGATCATTGATTGTCATGTGGAGACTTTTCCTAAAGTTTTACTGTGTTTAAGTGTGTAAGAACAATGAGCCATGAGGTCAGACTCTGGGAGTTCCGGCCTGGTGCCTGTTAAAGCGGTTCTGACTCCAGGTTCATCCCTTACCTTGCATGGCAGATCTTTTCTGTTAAATCTCAAATGGCTGACTGCGGAGCCTATTTAACATATCAAAGAGGACTCTGGTCACCAGTCTCCCCAGTCCCTACCTGTTACAGAGTCCTGGCTGGTCCAGCACTTTTCATCCCTCCACTACCCTCAAACTCTCCAGCACAGTCCATGGGCTCAGTTTCCCTCCCCCAGCCTCTGATTCCTGTATAACCTCAGCCATTTTGGCTACCAGTCACTTGGTGCTTTTGGCCTCTTGGTCTCTGGGTTTCCCGGGTATTCTCTTCTCTCTCTCTCTCTCTCTCTCTCTCTCTCTCTCTCTCTCTCTCTCTCTCTCTCCTCTTCCTCTCTTGCCCTCCCTACCCCCTCCTCTCATGGCCTGGTTTAGCATGGACCCTTCCAGATGCTCTGACTATTTCTCCCTCATATCTACAATAAACCTTCTCCACCATACTAAGGAGCTTCACGTCCTCTTTTATTTCCTCCAGTTTCTCTGACAGCCATGATGCTTGCAGGGTCCCAGATGTTGACATGAGGGCTTGCCTTTATAGTCTCATCTGCCCCTTACAGTGGCCCCACCTCCAAATACTAACAGCATATGAATTCCAGCATTAGTTTAACACAGTGGTTCTCAAACTGCGGGTCGTGACTCCTTTGACAAACCTCTATCTCCAAAAATATTTACACTATGATTCACAGCATAGCAAAATTACAGCTATAAAGTAGCAATGAAAATACTTTTTATGGTTGGGAGTCACCACAACATGAAGAATTGTGTTAAACTGTTGCAGCATTAGGAAGGTTGAGGACCACTTGCCTAATACATCAAAAAGATCATCCACCATGATCAAGTAGGTTTCATCCCAGAGATGCAGAGATGGCCCAACATATGTAAATCAATGAATGTAATCCACCATATAAACAAACTGAAAGACAAAAACCACATGACCATCTCATTAAATTCAGAAAGGGCCTTTGACAAAATCCAATACCTCTTTATTGTACACTGTATAAAAATGTACTGCTGCTGTGACTATAATAAAAAGCTGAGTGGCCAATAGCTAAGCAGGAGGTATAGGGTGGGACTTCCGGGCAGAGAAAGAGGAAGTAGAAGATAATCAAGGTGCAAGGAGATGCCAATGAAACATGGAGGAGTTAGACATACAGAAGGAAAGAAAGGTAAATGCCACATGGTAAAGCATAGATTAATAGAAGCAAGTTAATTTAAGTTATAAGAGCTAGTGAGACAAGCCTAAGCGAAGGCTGAGCTTTCATAATTAATAATAAGTCTCCATGTCAGTATTTGTGAGCTGGTGGCCCAAAGGAAAGTCCAACTATACCAGAGAGACTAGAATACAAGGGTCATATCTCAAAATAATAGCAAGCTCATAGCCAACATCAACTTTAAACGGGCCAAATCTCAAACAAATTTCACTAAAATCAGGAATAAGATAAGGTTGTCTACTCTCTGCATACCTATTCAATATAGCACCTGAAGTCTTACCTAAAGCAATAAGACAGTTGAAGGAGGTCAAAGGGATACAAATAGAAAGGGAAAAGGTTGAAGTTATCTTTATTTGCAGATGATATGGTTGTATATACAAATGACCCTTTAAAAGCCCACTAGGAAACTCCTACAGCTGATAAACACTTTCAACAAAGTAACAGGATACAAAATTAATACCCAAATATTTGTAGCCTTCCTATATACAAATCACACAGGGATCAAGGAAGAAATCAGAGAAACAATACCATTCACAATAGCCAAAAGAACAACAAAATAAAAAATTGTTATTGATACTAACAAAGCTAGTGAAACACTTGTATGATAACAACTTTGAGACATTGAAGAAAGAAATTGAAGAAGATATCAGAAAATGAAGAGATCTCCCACACTCATGGATCAGTAGCATTAATATAGTGAAAATGGCCATCCTACCAAGATCAATCTAAAGATTCAATGCAGTCTCCAACACAATTCTTCACAGACCTTCAAAGGACAATTTTCAGCTACATACGGGGACACAACAAACTCAGGAGAGTAAAAAGCATCCTGAATACTAAAAGAACTTCTAGAGACATCACCAATCCCATCTCAAATTGTATGACAGAGATATAGTAATATAAACAGCACAGTATTGGAACAAAAATAGACACATTGATCCATAGAATCAAATGGATGACCCAGACATAAATCCACGTGCCTATGGACACCTGATGTTTTATTAAGAAGCCAGAGATACACACTGGAAAAAAGACAGACTCTTCAACAAATGGTGTTTGTCAATCTGGGCAGCTGCAGGTAGAGGAATGCAAATAGATCCATACTTATCACCCTGTGCAACTCCAAGTGGATCTAAGACTTTAAAGCCAGATACACTGAATCTGATAGAAGAGAAAAAGGAGAATAGTATTGAACTTATTAGCACAGGAAAAGGCTTTCTGAACAGAAGACCAATAGCACAGGCACCATGATCAACAATTAACAAATGGGACCTCACAAAACTGGAAACCTTCTGTGTGACAAAGGACATCATTACTCAAAGTGACAGGTTACAGAGTGAGAAGAGAATTTTACCAAACACACAACTGAAAGAGCACTAATACACAAAACATAT